ATCCCTGTGACCTGGCCCCCCTAAGCTGATTACACTTTATTTAAAGTCAAGGAAAAATTGCGGCCAAATTCAGGTTTTGTTTTCTATGAAATTAAGAGAAAGAGATTATGAGTTCTTGCTAAGATTATCCCGTATACATCAACGAGGAACTGAAATCTCTGATAGCATGTTTTTCTAAGCCCAGTAGCGTTATGTCATGTCGCATTTTAACTACCGTAATTTTATATGGAGACAAAGAGTATCAGTTTGTGGTCAGTCATTTTGTTTTGTCTTGTTTTCTACTAATCGAACAGGAATTGAACTGATCTGCTGTTTTAGTCCTTTTTGGTAAGGTAGTATCAGTCATAACAATTCTGGTTGTTGGGAAGTACGACCGTATCTCGCCAGTTCTCTCTAATTTTCATTGGTTGCCAGTGTTTTTATCGCATCTATTTTGAAATTTTAGTGAGTACTTTTAAGGCCATTCATGGTATGTCATCTAACAACATCAGCGTTTTAGGTAGCATTAGGACCTGTTCTTCATATTCTGATCATTAAGATCGCATCACTCTATTGTTTTAGAACATCCTAAGGGGCGTATGTTGGCAACTTTAGGCGCTAGATCGTTTTCCGTTAGCGCTGCGGCCACAACATTGCGGAACAGCCCTCCCCCGCATATCCGTGATATTGGATCACTGTGCGCTTTTAAAAAACAAGTCAAAACATATCTTTTTAAATTAGCTTTTACGTAGTTTAACTTGATTTTATTTTCATTTTCATTTTATTTATGCTTTTTTATCACCATTTTTACTTTTTATCCGTTTTATCTATCATAGATTTATTTGTAAACTATAATTAGTATGACTGTAAAGCGGTTTTGATCATTATTTTATCTGTTAAAAGGCACTATAGTAAATTTATAAATTATTATTATTATTAATATTAATATTTGTCTTGTGTCTTATGGTCGCGGAAGTGGATCGAAATAGGCCTTTCATTAAAACGGTAAACATGTTCAATAATGCAAGTTCGTACATAACTTTTAATTGCACCCAAAGAGGTTCTGAGTCATGTGTAGGTAAAAACAAAGAACAATTCAGCATGTTAGAGTATAACTATAGAAAAGCATTCTACCTTCAGTCATTATTGGAAGATTTAAGATCCATGCATTTTTAATAAGAAATAATAGTTATAATATTTAATCTAGAGCTATCAATTGAAGAGATATTAAAAGCAATTTTAACTTTTATTTGACGCTTAATGCACATTTTGGTTCTAAAGTATAGATGGCAACGGGCCCGTGGCCAGGTAATGACCCGAAATATATTCAGTGATCGTATTCACATGTAACTGCCGCAGAAATTTGGCTCTGTTATAGAGCATTTTTCATTTTACCGGGTCAGTCGAGGTCATGCGTTTTCGGAGCTCATGAGCCACATATCACTTGTACTCCTCATGTCCTACATGAAACTGTATCCTAATTTTCACTCGATAATTTGCCACAGTTTTTGAAATTATTATTATTATTATTATTATTATTATTATTAATTTTTGTTTTAATTGTTATTTACTGTGGTAGTACGTATGCTGCTGCATAAGGTGGCTTGAGTATGTGAACAAAATATCTCACTACAGTCGATTCTCCCTCCACTAACGCCCACCTCTCCACAACAGTCACTTTCTTTTGAACTGTCAGACAGTTCATATGTTCAGCATCCGGGCAAAGGCGGCAACATTGTCTCTCTGAAAAATTGTCATGAAAAATGTCACGGATATTTACTGTATGCATTCTGGCAGCTTTGGTCATTTGCGACTAAAAATGGCTTCAAACGCAGATTCTTTTCTTATTAACAATGTCTATTAAAGAAAATATATCTAAGTAACAAAGCTCGAAGTAACACCCGACACACGTTTACAAAAGAAAAAAAATTCCCGGACAAAGGGGGCGGAGGGCACCCCTTAATCCACCCTTGGACTCGGGTCTATCAGCTATACAAATTCCACCCTATATATCATGTAAAAGGCGACAGGGCACTAGGCAATTCCATCCTAAGAGATTCATTCAAGTTAGTGCCAAAACAAACAAATACCAACACAGTTTGCTTTGCTGCTTTGTCTAGAACAAATCCAGGAGTTTCCGTGGAAATGTAAAGGTGAATAGAAATTTCCAGCTATTCATGTTTAAGTTCTTGCAACTGTACATAGTCAACGGCCACCTTTGGGACAAGAGAAAGTGGCTGTTATGGGAGGAAGCGGTGTAATATGGCTTACTGTATCCCATAATAGTAATCCAATCATAAATAATATATAGAGATAAACTACACAAAGAGCTTGAATTATGTTTTAAATCTCTAACTCTAACTTTAACTCTAATCATTTAATCTGCAAAGGGTATATCAGTCTCATCACGGCAGATGTGCAAATGTGCATGTGCTTATGTCAAAATATAACTGATTATGGTGCCAGTATTAAGTAAAAAATAAAGTTCCTAGGTCAGCGTTTTTAAAGATGGCACATGACGGCCATTTTGAAAGCCTCCACTGAGTGCTTTGGTGAAGAGTTCCACTCTCCGATTGTACGTGCAATAAAACAGACATTTTCTGTACCGGTTCGGTTACGAAGAACATGATCAAACTTTATCAAATGACCTCGTTTTGTGTTTTTTGCATTATTTTATCAATGTTATTTAAAATTAAAGATAGACTCGGGTAACAAATTCCTCTTTTTAAGTTTGTAGTTATCTCTACATGTATCGCACTTCTAGGTTAATATTGCATTCAATTGTCTATTCGTTTACTGTAACTTATGAAGAGTTAAGAGTGCTTTTTCACCCATCCATTAAGTTCGGCTTCTATATTCTTTATCAAGTCAGTGTAAGTCTTTGTTGTTGATTTTAATCTTTGTTTGTAAAGATAATTTTCAAAATAAGGCCAAGAATTAGGAAAATGATACGCCGTTAAGGGCCTTATGGGTGTACTGAGGTCAGCTGATTTTAACTGGAAATCCAAGACGATAACGGTGAGGGATCAAACACGGACCCGTGGGACTGAGTAAGTTAAGCAAAGGACTTGGGCAGCTGGTTTGGCGTTTTTTTTGTTAGCTTGTGATTATCACGACAATGTATTTTGTCGAATCAAACAAGACGGGCGAGGAGTATTTAACGGTAGCGGATCAAAGGAATGAGAGGATGCAGGGCAGCTCCTCAGACTAGGGACGGGTCAATAAATATCAGACCCGCTTCTATGAAAAAAACCCACGGCATTTAAACAAGGCCAGCTAATCGCGGACGTGTTTATTTTGTTAATTGAAGGCAGTACAAAATTGTGATGAGTTTCTCTTTACATTTTTAAACCGGGGAGGAGTTTCTTATACTCTATTGGATCTGGTCAAATTTGACCATACATCGCCAGCAAACTTTTGCATTACTGCCATATAGTCAACCCTGATGTATTCTGGGAATGATCTATTGGTTTGCGAAGTATAATTGTCATCTTAGGTATTTTTGTTGTTGTGATGTTCTTACTATGTCCATGCAGTTACTGAGAGAGAAAATAAACCTTTAATATTTGTGGTTAATCTTCGTACTCTTTGGTTTACTGTATAGTTTTTAACTGTCTTTTATTTTTCGCTGAGTTTTAAGGTGGATTGGTTTGACATTCTTTTACTGCTCACTTAGAACGTGACCACTAAACTCAAACTTTAAACTCAAATTAGTATGTTCTGCTTTAAAGCTCTTGATTAAATGCCTCATGTATTTACCACAGACAGAAGGTACAGTGAGAATTTTTAACATTTCAATATCTGCAACCTAAACACATGGCTAAGTACCGTTGGCCGGCAGGGCGAAACTGTAAGTGCAATAGCTGGATCCTTTCGATGTTACTCCAAAAGGTTACTTTGAAATGCAATGTAAAGTGGGTAGGTGTAAGCTGGGTCGATTATTTTAGCATACGTGTTAATGAAAGCTGTCAGTTTTTCATACTTTCGATAAGAGCATTTATTGTGTGCCCATAATGTTTCTAATGAATCCATTGTTGTGCATGTTAACTGGAAAGATTGTGTATGGTCAGCTGCATGGAAACGTTTTAACGACTATTACTTCCCTATTGTTCTTCATGAAGCTCTTTATTGTGTATTTTATCTCGCAACGCCCCACTGTTACAATTTGAAATGCAGTAAAAATACCGAATTCCCTGACTGTTATCCTGTCCTGATTGTTTATCGCATTTATTTTGTAAGGCTTGAAGTATTCCTTGGTGTCCACCACATTATAGAGTTTGCGCTAATTTTGTATTAGGCTACCCTCTTACTTTCATTAAAGGAAGGCTAAAAAGAGCAGATTTTGTGTTAAAATCTAATTACGTTCTGGGTGTTGATAGGAATACGTATTGACACAACCAGGGAGGGATATTACACATATTAAGGTAGGGTGCACGCTGCTTTACACAATGTCAACACGACTACAAAAGTTAATTAACGCTGCTTTAATGACCACACAAAACAAGACCAACATTCTTTTTTGTGTGTTATTTGTCCCTGGGCAAAATTAATTAAACTTTGAAGCGGTTACATCCATCAAAAAAGAATTCTTTTCCATGTATTAAGTTGAATTTATTTGTTTTTCACCTTGCGATCTCGACACTCTGTCTGATTTTAATTTCGTTTTTGCATCGGTTTAAATGAAGAAGGGACTATTTTGCATTCCATTTCAAGGCACGAAAATGAAATTACTCTTTTAAGAAGGGGAAGTTGTCATTAATGCCAAAAGAACATTACAATCGAGAGTGCACTCTGGTAAAGAACTGTGCTTTTATTCAAAGATTTTTCTTATAACTAATAGTATCTACAATCGTTTATTGGTGAGCAATTTTAGTTTGCTTCTTTTTGTTTTCAAATTTCAGTAATATATTCTAAGTACAATACTAAATTTGTTTAACTTAAAAATCAGAATAAATGTCACTGAATTTTTTTTTTATTTCAAATATAACTTCAATTTTGTTCTCATGTACAATCTTTTCTGTTTCTAAGAGACAATTTTTGATCACAAATATACTTTTAATTTGTTGTCTTACGTATGTTTCCTTGCTAAACTAAAAGTTTTCCTTGGTGAATTTCCTTTCGAGTCATATTAATATAATGTCACTGCTCCTCATGGACAAATTATTTGACAATTTTGGATTTAACAATGGCGTGTCTGCAGCCTGCTCAAAAGCAACATGATTCAAAACAACATTTTGACTAAGCTAACAAGACATCCTGGAAGCCGATTCTTCTTTATGTAAGATACTATGATGTGTTCCTTGTTTTATTGTTCAACTTTAGACTTCGTTCTAAAAAAGACCTTGTCTCCTCATCCGGGGGCCTTTTGATTGTGTCATTTTCTGAGGCTTAATCGCTTATAAAGATTTCGCTCGACTCTCATTAACATACCTGAAAGTAGACAAAAATATGCATGTAAGAAAATAATAACAACATCAATCGACACCAGATATTTACTCGCTGAAAGGAACTATTAAGAGTAAAAATCAAGTAAAACAAAATTGAAATACTCTGGGGTTTTATGTTTCAGTTCCTTTCCCGTCTGGTCATCGGTTAATTGAAAACTTAAAACTTCAGAAACACAAAATTACGTACTTCTCTTGTTATTAGTTTTTGAGAAATTTAACCGTGCTAAAAAGCTGTAAATATCGTGCACTCGGCTTAACACTTTTCCACGATATTTTTCACAAGATAGCACTGATTGTGCGTTGAGACGAAAGGATCATTTCTGTTAAAAGCTTGAAAACCACAAAACCCAATTTTATCTAATTCACCAAATTCGAAATTAAAACATCGATTTCAAAGACGTCCGCGTAATAAACAGGAAATAATTACTCTTTGCTCATTTTTCAAAGAGAATTTTAATTTAATTTCGCGTTGAAAACAAGGTGTTCGAACCGAAAGAAAAAGAAATTACAAGGTCCCTACAGTAAATTAATTTCTGCGGCTTCATCGCTTTCTCATAGCTGATTAGCGGAGGAAAGGAAAAAAGACTTCATTTACTAATTACGGTGTTCCCTTAAGCTGCCCGGCTAATTTACTTTGTTTCGTATGACTGTACTCAATTACCCTATAGTGTGTTTTAGTTTTGTAATCTGCTCGAACTCTTTCTTTTTTGTTCCGTTTCGAATCATTAGTTTTGGTTTTTGCAATTAAGAAGAAAAACACTTCTCATACTCTTGGCCTATCTCGCAAAAATGATGTCATATCTTGACTAAAATGATGAACCAATACTCTTTTGGTTCATTTCGGGGATGAGACTGACCGGGCGGGAGCTTCATTTTCTTTACCAAAGATCAAGGCGAAGATTTGAATGTTAAAATATCAAATATTATTGACAGTTTAGTGAACTGGAGCAAATTAAAGTTGATGGATTTAGGATTTTTTTTCAATCGAAATTTCGTCTAAAAGCAGCGCCTTGGAAAATGGCCTTTAATTATTTCCTGTGTTACTAAAGTGCAGGAAAGTTTTCTAAGTGCATCGGCATAGAATTACTTAAACCACATTTGGGAATGGAATGGTATTGATGAAGATTCACTTGTAATTCCGGCCATTGTAGTCGATGTTTTAACAGTTGCACTAATCAACGCTTTGCCTTGAATATTTTGCCATATCTTATCGACAAGGCAGCAGAACCAATTTAAAGTCTTAATTAATTCGTATTAAAAACTGCTTCCCATTGTCTTATCTGTGTGCCTTGGGGTGAGATAGAGATCGTAATCTAACAAATTTTTTTATGGATGCAAATTGCTTCACCAAAGCGATGGGCAAATTGTTTAAGAAACAATATCTTTTTCCAGTTGAGAAATGCTTTGAGAAAATGGAACTCGAACACAAGTGTAAGTGCCTACTATTTATATTGCTCGAATATCCGTGTAATCTGACATGATTATGCGGTAAAAAGCAATATGGCAATACGTCGCAAAATTAAAAACGTGTTTCCTTTTCACCAAAATAGTCAAATGAAATGTCAAAATTGATGACTTAATATTAGCTTAAGCAAAAAGCTCGGAGATATTAAAACCAAATAAGTATTATCCAAGGGGATAAAATTTATTGAAGATGTATTTTGACAGACGTTTTGGGGTTGAAAGGGCTTTTTGCTTACCGTTTGTTTTGTGGCGTGAAGTTGTTGTTTTAGTAGTCGTGGGTCATCATTCTCACAGAAAAGCCTCCCATTTACGACGTGAAATCGGTCTCCAGCGACAAGCTGATTGTGGCAAGTTGTGCAGTTAAAGCAGTTGATATGATAAACTTTACCCAGAACTTTCATTACAAACTCCGTGGCGGGAATTAACTTGGCACATACTGCGCATGCTCCACTAGATCCATATAACCTAAAAAGCAATAAGCGCCTGAAAATGAGATCCCAGCCAGAAGCAGCTCGGCAGTCGGATCTGATAACGCAGGATTTAATATGTTCTAAGTAATTAGAGATAAAAGCGTATAAAGCCAATATTTGGAATAGCGATAAATTGTTCTTCACGGGCCATTCAATTTGACGTTGATAATGCGGTGGATATGTTAACCTGCCTGGAATGGCATATTAAAAATCCTGTTTATTAAAATTAAAAAAGCACGTCTAGTACATAGGAAAAGCTTTTGTGTACTAATTTCGGAAGGACTGCGAAATTTTGCCAAACAACTGTAAATTACATAGACAAATGAAGTAAATCGCCTTTGGAAGGTGAAATATTAACACGCTAATGAGTGTTGAGGTTACCGTGAGCCACTAATACCAGGCATTCTCTGAAGCTTTTATAATCTATGTTATTAATTGCACTTTCATAATGGAAGAAATATTACGTTGACTAAATGTATGCAAAAAGCTGACCTCGTACACCCGGGTGAAATAAAGGAGCAAAAAAATATAAATATAATGGAAGATAAAAGCCACTTAAGAAAGTATTTACAACACGAGGCCATGCCACTCGTTAAAAAGGAGAAATGTTGGCGGGAGCAGGAAAACATTTATTACTTGCGATAAAACTCAGCACATACACAAGTGAGTCGCCACAAATTTTAAAAGAAGAAAATAGCTCATTACATGATGAGGTGTCACACACGAAATAAAAATACTCCGCAAAACAAACTTTACCCAGGATATTGAAATAATATTAAACAACAAATCGAACGGACACACAAAAACGAAATAACAGAATAAACCAGGACTTACTTAACGTAGTCGGTCTTGCACAAGATCATTCCACCTTTGGCGTAACACGATGATCCTACTTCCCCCAATCTTACATTACAACAAGAACATTTCAAGCAGTTAACGTGCCAGTACTGGTCCAAAGCCAGAAGAAGAAATCGATCCAAAATTTTTTCTCCGCATCCTCCACAACTTCGTATTCCTCCTTGAAGACATCGACCTACAGCAAGAAATGAGAGCGACAGTTAAGACTAAAATTTCTCGGTTGGTTGTCCTTGTTTCCTTTTGAACAGCGTTTTGACTGAACACGTCGGAGTAGGAAACATAAAATGGTTTACATCGAAAGTTAGACCACGCGCGCTGTCGACCAACACTACAAAGCTCGCGGATTCAACCGAGCATAAAACGTGCGAACTCACTGTTCACGTTAGTCTTGTCCATTTTATTAACCGGCGATGGCGGCGGAAGTTTCTGCGCTGCTGTTGTTTCTAGTCGTGTGGTTGCGTTGTCAGCCTTTGTGACACTGAGTAGGAATTAGCCAGTGGCCGTTGTTTGTTAAAACAACTCGGGTAACAGTGTACGTTATTCAAAACATTCATCATATGACAGCGAATTAAGCCTAATCAATTCGACATCAAATCAGCTTCAAACCCTAAATGACCAAGACACAATTAGTTGTCATCAACTAAGAGATGTTGCCATTACGTTCACAGTTTCCCAGTCTCTGATTGGTTAATGGCTTTAATAAGGCAGTAGTTAAGTCATCTCTACACCCCGTGTATCACTTGCAGTAATTACCAACACGATACGCTGTGGTTTTCGAAGTTTAATTAAGTCACGTGATATGTCATCGTACCTGGGCTTGTTTTTTCGGGGGGGGGGGGTGGGGGGGGGGGCCGTTGTTATTCAAAAAGTCGGTAATTTTTTTCTTGATTGTTTCTTTCCCTGGAAGGCATCCCGCCAGTCAAGTTTGAGAGAAAAAGAGGTAATTCTCGAAAAATCGATGCGGCGTACTGAGGTGTCCATAAAAAAACTACTTAATTTTGTTAGCTCCTCCTACCCTCCCGTTTTATTGTTTCTTTATTTTGATTGTGTTGTTTGTTGTTGTTAGGGTTTTGTGTTGTTGGTGGTGTTTGGGTGTGTGTTTTTGGTTTTTTGTGGGGGGGGGGGGGGGGGGGGGGAGCACTTGTTATTCGAAAAGTCGGTAATCTTTTTCTTGATGGTTTCTTTCCCTGGAAGGCATCCCGCCAGTCAAGTTTGAGACGAAAGAGAGCAATTCTCGAAAAATCGATGCGGCTGAGTTCGGATGTCATAAAAACAACACTTAAATTGATTTTTCTATTCTTCTCCTGGGAAGCAATTTATTTAAGTCCCGAATCACTTGAAAGGATCATTTGTTAAGAATACAATTGCGAGTAAACGGAATGCAATTAACAAGCTGACAACCAAGAACCCGCCGAACATCTGTCTAAAGGGAAATTAAACAAACTCAGCTCAACCAATCATGGGCTTATACGCAGCACTGCTAAGGATGATGGGGATGTCAACCAATATAGATCAATATACCCCGGAGGAGGAGGAGGAATCATGGTGTTATTCATTACCGCTAATATGATGCCTTGGCTAATTATAAGAGCAATTGAACTGTTTGCTCGTCTTGAACAAGCCATTATCTTTTTGCGAGGTAAATTAACTGGATGATCGCACGCATGCGTCCAATGAAAACTTAAAAATGATTCGGTAGTTAGATTTCATAGTTTGAATCTTGCCTGAGAAACTAAGATCACAAGGTCCAAAAGATCGATTTTTACACATTTGGAACCACACCAGGCAATGACCACATGTTCCTGTGGAAGATAAGATAAATAGCCAGTTGGCATGTCACGGCATATTGCAATGAAACCCACTCAGTAGGAGAGAGATTCGAGAATACGTGTCTTCACAAAAAGCCGAAAACATCGGGGTTTCGTGTAAAAGGTTATTAATTTCTTTGTCCGCGTTGGTAGACACAGCCAGACGTGTTTGGTCTTTATAATTATTTTTCTCTAATGCACTTTGAACGCCTAACCACATGTATCCGCATCAGTTGTACGGCGTCATATTTTTGCTCTTTTTCTCTTGATTACTTCTTTGCATCCGCTCGTGAATCTAACGTTTTTTTTTATTTCAGTCCTTTTTTTTCTTGTAAATAGCAGTCGTACTTTCCCACGAATTAAATTTATGTAATATGTCGCTCAAGATTACGTTTACATAAAGTGGCACAGTGTCTGTCGTTCTTTATTTACTTATCTTTTAATTTTATTTTCATAGCCTAGAGAAAGTCTCAGTTGTTTAGAACTCTTGGTTTGGATTTACCATGTGTTGGTTAAGCCGGATCAGAAGCTGATAATTTCCCCCTATAAGAGTTATGAGTAATTTCTGAACGGACCTGAGATCTCTATCGAACATCATCAGACATGCACTCCACGGAGCTAAAAATGATAATTCTTAAATTAAGTCTTGCTTTAAACAAAACAGAATTCAAATTTAAACAAACCAAATTCTTATTGTTTTGTTGCAGGTTCCCTTGGCTATCTATATTGGTTGATAAAGCATGACTATTTACTCCTGGGCTCGCATAGTGTCCGAAAAACATGACATTCCTTCGGACGTTTGGTTTTAAAACCTTTCTATAAAACGTAAATAAAATTTTGGGGTTATTTTAAAACCACTCCTGACCATGAAATTTAAATCTTTTAAACAATACTTTTTATTCAGGGTGGCTGTCGAATTTCGATTTTAGTTGGCTTTTACCTCGTAGCCGAATGGCTTGTAAGAGTTTTCCATCATATTCATTTTAATTCACCTAGCTTTTAAAGAGCTCTGTTGAGTACATGAACAGAAATTGAAGAAAAGAACTTATATAAGTTTTCATTTTGTAAATATCTCCACGGGTGCTGCGAACTTCCAACAGGGTAGAAATTTTAATTGAATTCTTTTTTAAACAATAAAATCTATGGCACGTGCCTGTAGCCGAATCGCTCGATCGTTGACGTTTGCAACACGGTAAGTCTTGTAACATTTTCTGCAGCCTTGGGCGTAAATTTTAAAAGCAGACGTAAACTAGAAACACTGTGAGACCGTTTTTTGCTAAATCTCTAATATTGAGTGTGTTAGGCTATTTAGCCGAAGTGTGGAGCTTTGCAAGTGGTATTTACATAAATAATCAAGCCTTTAGAAAGTGTCAATACCATCTTTATTAGTAGAGCAAACAAGGAAAATTAATTGTGCAATGGGGGAAATCGATTGGCCAATAATTTAAGTCAGTCTTATAATTGTGGCCTAATAAATGCAGCTCAGGGTCTGGTAATTTCGACCGACTTGTTTTCTTAAATACGGTAGTTCATTGTTCTTATTGCATTTTACAAACCAGTCGTTAGGATTTTGCCTTATATAAAAGTGACTCAGCAGTTTCGATATCTAAACACAGCCTAGAGCTACTGTGTGTAGCTGTCTCTAAGAATGTAAGGCAACTTTTATTGCTAGGAACTCAAAAAACGTTTGATCCTCAAGTCCGCCAAAGACAGATACAAAATTGTTAAGCTTTGTTCCCACCTAGAACGCACCATAGCAGGTGGAATATAAATAAAAGTAGATAAAATGCACAGCTTCATTTCTCCAAACCATAATATACATTGCGGCTTTATAACCCCAGATCACTTGGCCTCACTCACACTTCAAACGTATTTTTGCCTTCGCCTTTAAGCCGAGAAAGCAATCCAGCTGCGAGGGGAACCTTCAGAAAACACTGTTGACGTCAGAATTTAACGTGGACCTCTTCTACATCTTTCAAGCAAATTATTGAGAAGTGTGTTTAATCTAGTGTTAAAAGGTCCATTATTACCGGTACCTACGTCAGATATTATGAATGTGGTGCCCCTTAGGCGGAATCTTGCTTAATTATCTTGACATTCTCACTCAGCCTACCTTAATGGATCTTGAGTTAATGGCCTGACCAGTGCACTCAGCGATATAGCCATAATTTTACCGCGTGGTGTTGGCTTTAAAAATTGCGAAAGCTTTTCAACATCACCGCCGCAAAACCTTATATCAAAAGTGGTATTTCCTTAAAAGTGAATAAGACTTGACTGAACATGCGCCGACACCAATTAGAGTATCTGTCTAGTTGCTATTTACAACAAAGTTCCAGAGTATTCGGCGATCGGTAAAGTTGATTAGTTTCCGAGTACCTCAGTTTCCTTAGTGTTTATATTAACTGAAGCGTATTGGGTTCATTTAAGTAACCAAGACTTCTCAGTCAAAATTAAAGCGGAAATTCCAACGATCGACCTACATCCCACTTAAAATCTATAGAAACGGATCTGTGAAAGCTCAGGAGTCAACAGCATTTTTTTTTCGATGCGATGTTTTAATGGAATCCCAACGGCTCACCTCGCCATAGCACCGCCGGAATTGCTACTGATATGGTTGTCAGCGTTTAGCTATTGACTGGAAATTTAGTGGCGCCAGGAACACCGCCGCCGCCGCTGCAAATTTTATGAGACCATTTACACGAGCAACTATTTCTGAATTATACTCTATGTCCGATAAAATTTAAAACAAAAAAAAAAAACAAAGAAAAATGCGCTTTGTGCCATGTAAAACTTGTCCTATTCGGCGCTTATGATTGATTCTAATGTGCCCCTTCTTCTTCGCGATTGATCTAAATTGTTGATGTTTTACCTGCTTCCAAGTCTTGTATTTCGTCCAAATTCATTGCCTTTGCCCGTTATCGAACTTGATTGCAACAAGAGAAACGCACTAAACGAAATGATCGCACAACATTCAAGCTGCCCCAGTTTTGTTCATTTTATGGCCACTGGATTGATGACATGATTGCAACTCATGCGCCCTGCACATGGCACTTAAACCTCTATCAATTAACAACTTGTCCGTGATATTCGTTCTTGAAGCATTATTAGCATGTAAATTAGCAAGAAAAGAACAGCCCAGCTGCTTAAGACGTTTATTAATGAATTAGACAGGCCGCTAATAATGCTACATTCACTACTACTCTCCTACTGTGGCCCGGCACAATCATCATGGCGTAACCTGTAAAGGACATGTTTAACAGAAAAGAGTACAGGTTTTCTTATGCATTCATCGCGAAAATGTGTGTGTGCGTTTTCAGCTACTCAACGTGTCTTAAAAGTACAATTGTACCACAAAGCTTAGTGAATTTTTAAATTAGAGTATATTCCTCCATTTTAATTAACTGTCCATTAAGAACTTTCCACATCGCCTTTGGTAATTTAAATCGGTAAGCAGACCACAAGCACTAATTAACAAAACTCCATTATTAATCAGACACAGGAGCTGGACTTAACACTGGTAAGCTTTTTGTCCCTTTTTCTCTTCTTAAAAGCTTTCAAAAGTAACAACAAAGAAAAACAATAAGGCTAATAGTGTTTTCAAGAAAATATGTATCTAAAAAAAGGCTACTCACTCATTCTTCCTGAATTGTCAATATATTGAAATTTAGTCAGTTTTTAAAGCTAATGACTGACAGCTCTTATCTTATTATATATCACTCAGTTTCAAAAAAAGGTAGAACCAAACGCGGAAGCCGAGTTTAATCTTATATTTTAACACCTTACTGCTGGATAAAAACTCTTCATTCTTATTTTTATTTTCGATGAATTTCAGCTAGGTTTATGATTGTAAAATTAAAAATGATTGATTGTAAAATTAAAAATGTTGAACATTTTTGCATTGTTTACCTGAACAAGGAGACAGCTGATCGGCTGCCAAGAAAATACCAAATGAGTTTTGATAGGAAACTATAGGTGCTTTCTAATTAGACAGCACAGGATTAATTAAAACATATTCTCATAAATTACGCTGAAAAGATGATTAATAAACACCTTTAAAATAACGCTAGGGTATAAAGAATTAAGCGGCTAGCCTAAGATACACGTTACAGTTGTTTGCCAATTTTCTGATCAATATTTGTTTTCTCCTAAAAGAGAAAAGAATAAAATAACGTTCGTTAACACCATAAACCGCCGCTAGCCAATTGAATTTCGGCGAATCAAGAAGTGGCAGTCATTGACCACTAACAATGTTCTGCGCATTAGAAAGAGTCTGCAAAGCAATAAATATTTTTAGGGATTAGAATATTCTTCTTTAATTCTAGAATAGACTGTAGTTAAAACTAAAAGTAAAAAACTTGTAATTTGACTTCGAAGTAAGTTGCTTTACACACGTTACTGATGAGGGGATGTCTTTGAGAATACAAGAACTAGTCAAGGAAACCTTTGGCATTCACAAAGTGTAGTCCCATCGTTGAACACAATGAGATGAATCAATGAGATAATCGATCGCCGTAATCGCTTTAGACGATTTGGGTGACGTTAGTCGACTAAAAGTCTAAATTCTGTTGATTGAAACTGTATGTAACATGTGATAGAACATGCTTTAATTGAGCGCTCTTTTTTAGTGTTTCACTGTCCAAATTGTGTCTTCATTTTGACGTTTTTTTTTTTCCGGCAACCGTGCAGAGGTGGATAATGATGGATTTTTCGAGTAAAATAAAACTGTGTTACTGGGATTAAAGGGCTGCTATGACATCAGGATACTGCTGCTGTTTCAGGTTAATTCTGTGCTGAAGTCATTACTTAGTGCGGCCTTTACCAATACACAAAATGTTCCTGTAGAGTCATGAAAAATATATCAAACAAATTTAATTAGGGAACATGAACAAAAATAATTTCTTTGGCGATTTTTGCAGGCATAGCATACTATTTGAAGTTTCAATCCGCATCCATCCCTGCCATCCGTTGCAACAGACGTCAAGAGGCAGTTTCAACGCCTAAATATAGTTTAAATATACTTTAAAAACAAAACCGGACCGCCATTATTTATGGAATTCAGTTGATGCGAAGACACGTTTTAGCCTTTTAAAAGATAGCAACAATGGAGGTCAAAAGTGTTGGGACCTTTTCTATGATATTAGTACAACTAGCTACCCCTCCCCTCCCCTCCCAACCCAAACAAAGTTGAATTTGAGCACCATGGGTTAAAATGAGCCCTTTTGTTGGCCTCACCATTGCTGGAGGGTGGGGGGAGTAGGGGGGAAAGGCGGGATGAACCCGAAGCCGATCAAGAAATTGTACCTTATCTTAAGTTTTTCATCCAAAGGCAGTTATTAATTGTCACATGTCGATTCTAAAGGAAACGTTGTCTAGAATATAAATGGCTAAACGTTTGTCTCATTTGTCCTACTAACAAGTCAGACACATTTTCTTCCAGGTGACACAGTCCGATATATTGCCAACGAATCATGTGGAGATTTTACTGTCTTTGATTTTTGTCATTCCAAATTGTATTGTTAAATTAATTTTCGCTGATTTGTCAGTTTGCTCAGTCTTGTAATGTAATACCAACTGCTCTCGTTGACGAGATAACGTCTTACATCATGGTGTCCAAATTTACCTCGTTTCTGTGAGTTACAGACGGAACCTCCTAATTCTCGGTTTGGTGGCAGTTTTCATAGCCTTACTTAAAGAGGCTAGGGTGGCGTGTAATCTTCTCTCAGTAGTGCTTTTTATTTAAGCGGAGAAAAGCTCAGTGATCTTGTAAATTATTCAACTCGGCTTTTTTTGTGCCTCCCTTTCAGGACTTATAAATAAACGGGAAAGCAAAGGCAGACCGCAATAGGAGTTGTGGCAGATCAGTTATCATGTGCAACAAAGATCACAGGCGAAGTTGGGTTTATGTCACCTAACTTTTGTCTTTTAATGGTTGAAAATATTTTTAAATATTCGGGTCTTAAAAGACTCTCAGGCTAACTGGTAGGTGTACCGTAATTGAATTATCCTTAGTCAAAGGGCCTGATCCAAGCCCATGGATGCATCATCCTAAAGGGTGTTTTTCATAACACAGGGTTTAAATACTTGAGAAATCGATTGGATTATCCCAACTAATACGTCAAGAAGATATTAGGGCCAGAACGGTCCAAGGCCAGCTCGGCGCGCTGTGGGGGAATGTGAACTACGCTGCTGCATACAGCAAACGATGTAAGAACTAATTCACCATGCGAAATCTAAGGTTAGAATCCACATTTGATCCCCGGTTAGATACAGAAATCAGAGAGGACGAGTGGGAAGTTGAGTTGATTGGGCCCGGCTGCAGAAACCATGGGCGAATCAGGAGCAGGCATTATTAAACCGGTTGAGAATGTGAAGGTAGATTACAAAAAAGCTCAAGTAGAGCTTCATTAATAAGATTCCTTCCAAAGCAGTAGAAAAGAAACAGGAGCCACTCAGAAGCATCAGAGCTGGGAAACTTAAAACATCTGACTGTGCTGGCAAGTTACACTTGAGGATAACCGCGGCTCGGAATTGAACAAAACTAGGTACCCGCTGCATTTAAATCAACGAAAAGTCAATCATTGTTTCAAGTATCTTTCCTCTGAATAACAACTGTACCTGACGCACTGAACTTTTCACTTATCCTTTTAATACTTAATCAAACTTTTAACGCGTAGTGTTTTTTTTTTTTTTGTAAAATTCACTTGTGGAGGCGCCAGTAAATGTTGCCACTGTTTGAAGAATAATTCTCCAACTAAAAACTCTTACCCGCTGCTTTAAAGTGAAGACATTTTTCAACTCCGAACAAATTTCAGCGCTTACTTATCTTCTGCTTAAACGGATGGTTTCGTGTGACTAACTCGCCTACCTTCTTTGCTTGTTTGCATCGCTTCTTGCGGGGAATCTTTGTTTGTCGATGTTGTCTCTACCTGCAGTTCAACGTTGCTGTCCTTTTCTTCCATGCTAAAAAAATTGTTGGTGACTTACAAAGAAAAAATGATCGTCCTCGCTTATTCAGTACTTCAGTGGTTATAAATAGGCCTCGATTGCACGCACAAGTGTTTAAAAGCAAACAAAGCCCACGGGTAGAGGATACTAGGATGTCTGACTCCGGAGACATGCTGGTTTGATTTCAGCTTATTTTAACATATGAGCATGTGTTTCCAGCATTGCCTAAGGCGCCATCGGTATGATATCAGTATACTGACAAAAACGAGCACAAAGTACTAGTCAAGCTTGGCGCTTTAGAGCCTCCTGTCCCCGTTATTTTCCCGCCAAGACAGATGGCTTTTTTGTAATTTGGCTGATACCGGATGCCTGAAGAATTAAGTGGGTTTTGGGACTCAATTTTCCTTTTTGGACAACCTTTTTTGTCAGGAAATTTAAAGCGTAAATTTTGACAAAAAATCCCTGGTTAGAATTACAAAATATTTCTTCTTTTCATAGGTTTAATGTTCCCAATTCTTAAGATTAATTACGTTTCCCTAATTTAGAAAACATGGATGCCGTAGTTTTGGTGCTGCGCTGACATACGCGCTGCATCTGGAAAGTTTGGCTGAATGAATTTCTCCTTGTTGTTCCAATGCTTACTTACCAAACAAGTCATGAGAATAAAGAAAATGATCACTTTCGGTATTTTAACTTATATTCATTTATATATGTTGGATTGTAAAAATATTTATTTGCTTATAGACTGCACTATACTGTATTGCGCCGTGTCTGCAGTGTGAAGGTGCTTATAGCCAAGCCTCTAAAACATGCAGGATACATGCAGTTGAAATGTGCCAAATGTGATGGTATACTGTTTCCATGTTAGATCTTCGGCTTCAGTGTATGTGGGAGAGTGGAAACGTAGTTTGTTTATATCCTGGCTAACCAACATGCACATTACCTGATGTTTAAAAGGAACAAACTTTTACAAGAGAAAGTAATTAGTCAACCGCAACACAGTTTTTGTCGAATCCCCAGTTATTAGGTAAGTCCCACGTGCAAATAAACGATGTCAAGATAAATTTTAAATGTGTAAGCTTTTATGCCATTAAATGTGCTACATCCATAAATATTTTAAAAGGGAAGTCTGAACCCAAACAACTAAAAGAGAAACCATGTGCTGTGAAATGTGATTCTAACTCTTGATGGTTAGGATCAGGACGTAACTACTGACCAATACTCGCGGTATAATGAATGAACAGCTCTGTTTACCTTGTTCTAAATATGCATGGTTGCCGCCGGCCGCGGCGCGCGGTACTGTCTGCTGCAGGGTCTGTTGATAAAATCTAACTAAATGTACCTTACACTTTTAAACAGTAGCCACCCAGACTGCTGACTATCTTTCTTTATACTCAATCATAAATTATAGGCAAATTCTATGCTATTCAGTGTTACTCTTTTGACAAGTCACTTAGAAAATCGACCATTACACCGACAAGCTTATTGTTCTCAATCACTCATAGTAAGTGAGAAGAACAAGAGTTCTGGGAAGTGAAAAGATTTTCAGTTTTGTGTGTTTGTTGCCAGGACACTGATCTTTCATAAAGTCAGTAACAAACCATTAGTCGGCCAAAAATAGCAGCTTTACATATATTTCATGATCGGTATCGGTTTAGACGATTGAGATTCAACATAGTCCTTCTGTGGGCTACAAAAGCAGTGCTTGTCAGAGGATGGGTGACCCCGTGACTCTGGCCAATAGGAAACGTGTTTCTCGTAATCGTCATTGAATGGTGAACCGAATGTGATATCAAGCTTTTATACAAACCTTTGGCTTGCTAAGTTCTGTTGTTTTATTGTGCTCTGTTTCATTATTGAGTTAAGTATTAAAAGCAAGGCTTCAGACTTATAAACTAGCACAACTGTTTATGATGAATGATGGCTTCCTCAGTTCACCAGCCAAACCAGTGAAATTCATGGCTCCATTAAGTCAAGTTTCATCAGCAACATTCATCGAAATAATTTTGCTGTCTTTTTATGTCTTTACTACGAAACGAAGAATTATGTTGCAAAAAGCCAACAAAACAGAAAAAGTGATACGTTCACCGGCATATCCTTTTCGTCTGCAAAACCGGCAAATGTGATTTTTCTTAACGGAAAGGAACAGAAATAACTTCCTTGAAGAAGTTCAAGCGAGTTTGATGATTCGCGGCCTCTGTTAATGACACGCTTAACAACAACAATAGGATAGGTTTTTTGTCACCAGAAAAAAGAAATTACTTTTTTCTTCTCTTCCTTAAGACTTTTTGTTATTTCTTTTCTTTCTCTTGTAATTAATTACCAGATGAGGTGAGCATTCTTTTCAAATAAGAGCGGTGGCGAACAAAGCCATTTTCGAAGATGCACAATCCTGCTTTTCCAAACGGTATATGAACATTACTCTAAGCTGTAAAGTGCATTGGTCGAAACTTTAAATCTAACATAGGGTATGATTTCCAAATTTTCAGCATTATTTTTCTACTTAGTATATGCATCAAAAAGCGCGATGATTTACTGCATGTCCTGTTTTTTTTTCGTTAAAAATCTGGAAAAACGAAGATCTGGATCTCTCTATCTTCAAGCCAGTCTCCTTAGTGTTTCATCATTGCAACGAACGCTTTAGGGTCTCTCATTTCTTTCCAATTTCATTTCTTAACTAAGCAGAACTGTTTATAGACCAAGCAAACAAAAAACATTACTCCTCAATAGACAATAGCAATAAAACGTGGGAAGCAGGTGCTATCGTCATAGCCGCCGAGTGCAATGAAAGGTTGGCTCACTCACCTACCAACAATGTGGCCTGGGCTTGAATCCCATAAGCCATCGGTGTCCGCGCGCAGTGCCATATGCAGATCAGGTATTTTTATTTCCATTCATCCGGACTATGGTAGACGAAAAGCCCCTTGATGGTTGGTGAAGATTTGAAGTCAACATTCTTTGTATTGTACGAGTAATAAGTCTCTCAAATATACAAACCGTTTGGTTGGCTTGAATTGCGTCAATACGCCACTTGCACATCTCCCATCATGCACCTTATTTGCCCCCCAAAATTTTGCATAACCTTTGTTTTTCATTTCTCGTAGGTTTTACAGCCTTCCCAAGAGAAACTGAAAACAATGCTTATGCAAAATTTTGGAGGACAAATAAGGTGCATTATGGGAGATGTGCAAGTAGCGTTTTGGTTACCGAAATGAAGAATGTTGAAAGTTTCTTATAGCAAATACCAGCTGAGGAAATATACTTAATACTGCGGGTCGGCATGTGAAGCCGGCTTTAATCCCTGACGTATTTGTTTCCTGAGGGCGGAGAAACACTTTTTGGCAAGAGGAAGATTTTTAATCACTTTCAAATGATTTCTCAGTAGACTTGAATTTGATTTTCTTCATGTCTCTGCTTGTAAGATTTAAGTAACCAGGCGTTGGGAATCTTTCTTCCACTGGTCGATAGCTTAACAAAAATTAAAGGTCAAAAAAACATAGGTTACAGGAAATCCTTTCATACCCTGGTTAGACACTAATACTGACATTATACCTTGGTTTTTGCAAGCATTACATATATAATATGTATATTACTTATGCCTTTCATATATGTATGCGTGTTTAGCGCTAAAGACTAAGCTGTTTACACTGTAAGTTTGTTAGAGCAGAACGTGCAGTGAGTTCAATATATTGTTTTATAACATTTGTGCTGGACATGTATGATTTTGAAAGCTTATCAGTTAATATAGCATTTTTTATTATCTCTAGCTTCGTACAATACATCAGTTTTTCTCTTGATAAGGATTTTCTCTGTGTCTAAATATTTTATCTGCGTCTATTTAAAGCTCCAATCCATGCAATCCTCCCGATGGTTAAGCCAGCTCAGTATTTCCACATTGCGTCATCTACAGATACGAAGAACTCCCCTGATTAACATACCAATTGTTAAAATCAATGGCCGCAAAGAAACCCCGCAAGCCGGCCTGAAAATGTTTTGTTACATCAAGAGATACTGAAAAGTGCTTTATCACACTGAGCGTGCTCGTTCATTTTTTTTAAACATGTTCGAGGTAAATGATGTGAACCTTATCGCAGCTAACCTGCCTTAATATCGCGTCTGACGTTTCATAAGTTATCTTATCTTAAGGAAAAGAAGCATTATAATTTAACCAGCATACCAGAGACCGAATGGCTCTTACGCCCACATGCACTGCTGAAAATTAGAGTGTTACCGACTGAATGCCGAAATATGCTGAGGTGTAAATGTCTTTACATTAAACTAGCTTTGCTACTCAGCATTGTATTAACCCAAGTCAATCTTTCCGCGAGGCAGGGTTTTTTGTTTGCATAGTCACTTAAGAGGAATATTAATATTATTACCTCGTGCAAAGGGGTTCAGTTACTTTTAGAATTTGCTTGGCGTGGGAATCTTGTCCCGTGTTTAAAAATGGCGGTCACCTCTTTTGTAAATACTGAACATAAGAATAACCCTTGCCTTTATATAGGAACCAGTTCTAGTTTTTATGGCTAAGTCGACCACGCTATAACAAATTACACAAGTTGTCTTTTCAATACCAATTGTCAGTTTACGGTACACTACTGTGTTGTGGTATTATAACATCTATGCCAAGATAAGACCTTCTTGAATTTCCGATGTTATTTTCTTCCTAGAAGCTTGCAACAAGTAATCAACAGGTAGCCGCCAACGCTAACAGGTCATTAATTATCGTTGCCTTGGCTTCACTTGGTTTTCAAAGGTTTGATAAAGGGCTTTTAAGTTTTAAAGTCTGTTTGCATGACTGAACCGTTAGCCACAAACAGTAACTGACCTATATGTCTTTGTTTTGATTAAAGACACCAATGAAAAATCTTAAAAGCCGGCAATGACTTTACTTTTACGTCAAAAAACATAAATAACTTAGCGGCAGATAGGGACTGATCAAAGAAGGTTGTTTTCTATTCACTTGTTTTAACATTGTCTTAAAATGCTTTTAACGCGGCGGGTCAGCCACTGT